TATCTCCTGTACTGGAGTTGGTTATTTGTACCCTCTTTCAGGTTCAAAAAAGAGGGTTATTTACATATAATTCCAATGCCATGAATATGAAAATATCAAACCTTACCTACCTCCCCACAGTATAGCATTAGACAGCATGAGACTTGGGGCCAGAGAAGAGACATTTTCTGCTTTCCTGGGTTCCCATAAATGTATCATCATATAAGCTTGGAAGTTTCTTGCTCTTGTTTCTGTTGCCACTTTCTTATAGCTTGAAAAAGCTGAGTCTTACCTTTATGGGACAACTATGATGGCCAAAAGCTCTCTAGGGATCAGGGAGATGTAGTTGAATCCTTTATATATTAAAAAAAAATCAATGGCCTAATATGCATACTTCCTCTTCCTGTCAGTTTCGGATCCCTGATTCTCACATGCGATATTTACCATACGGCAGAAGCCCCTTGTTGGCTATGTGTCTTTGGGAAAGTTACCTAATCTCTGTACCTTGGCTTCTTTCATTCACCTTGATTGCAACCTTGTGGAAAGAACGTTGAATGCAGAGGGATGCAGCTAAGCCACCATATTCCTGACTCACAAAAACTGTGAAGTGAGAAATTTGTTGTTTTAAGCCACTCAGTGTTGGAATCATTATACAACACTAGATACTTAATATCACTTCATAGACAAATAAAATTAGGTTGTTCCTTATTAATCTTTTATGGCTTTTCTATTACTGTTGAGTCATTGGGATTTTGTTGGTCTTAAGTAGAAATTTTTGTACTCTTTACCAGGTTATCCATAGTTGATGGCTGCATTGCTAATTAATAATAGAGCCACCCATTAATGGTCTTCTACTAACCAGCCTGGTTTTATATCAAAATATCTGAGCTCCAAATAGTACTTCATCACTGCTCTCTTTTCAAACTTGGAAAAATCAGCTCTAGATTTTCTCTCTGCTCAGCGGTTTCTTCGCTTCTTTATTCCTCTGGCTTCTGTCCCTAAGTGGGTGGTAATGACCTGATGGATACCTTCATAATGTTATTCCTGACCCAACAGGTATTTACTAATTTGTATTTATGTACTGCTAGTTTGAAACTACCAGCAGTTCTGTGGGAGAAAAAGAAGAGGCTTTCTGCTCCCGTAAAGATTTACAGCCTCGGAAACCCTGTACAGGGTCGCTGTGAGTTGGAACCACAAGTATGAACATTCTTGTGCATCTCCCCTCACTTCATATCAGCCAGACCCTTCACTCTCCACTCTGGTCCTCTGTGGCCATGTCCATGTCCCTGGGCCCAGGAGTCCTCAGGTCTCGCCATACTGCTGGCCGACCAGGTCTCAATCCAGGTTGACAGGAGTCTATTGAACGTGGTTGAAGTAGCTCACAACTTCATTGCTGTTTTTTTCCCCACTTCCCCTTATCGGTGACCATTGTGGTCAGCATCAAGATAACATGCCTGCTTGTGTACTCCCCTTGCATCTTAGTCTTGGAAGGGGGTTTTCTCTGAGGGGACCTGACCACTTGCCTTGATGGCTCCCAGGCGAACGACTTGCTTGTTCTTGTAGTAGTCAATCAGACTACCATTATTGTGATATGTTCTTGACAATGAATTCAACGCCATTCCTCCTCAATTTGTCATTCCTGGCATAGTAAACCATGTGGTTGTTAAGATTCAAAATGGCCAACAGAAGTCCATTTCAGCTCACTAATGCCTAAGATATCAATTTTATGCGGTCCATTTCAATTTTGGTCCATTGCATTCTGTTGTGCATAGGGTCGCTATGAGTCAGTACTGATTTGATGGCACCTAACAACAACGCTATGCCCTTGCTATGTTTGAGCCTACTGTTAACAGCCACTGTATCAATCCATCTAGTCGAGAGTCTTTCTCTTTTTTGCTTGAACCTCATGATGTTCTTTCTTATGGACTGGCTCTCTAATGATGTTTAGTCCAAAGTACATATGACAAAAAGTCTCACCATCCTCCCAGACAGACGCAATCCATGGTATATTCAATATTTTTTTAAAACAACGTAATTCAAAGGCATCACTTTTTCTTTGGTCTTCCTTATTGTCTGCATATGAGGTGACTGAAAATACTATGGCTTGGGTCAGGTGCACCCTAGACCTCAAAGTGTGTCATTTTTGCTTTCTAACATTTAAAAGACGTCTTTTGCAGCAAATATGCTCAATATAGTATGTCATTTGATTTCTTGCCTACTGCTTCTGTGAGCATTGATTGTGGGCCCAAGTAAAATGAAATCCTTGTCAACTTTGTGTTTTTTTCTCCATTTATCATGATGTTTCTTATTGGTCCAGTTCTTTAAGTTGAGGTTTATTCCATAGTAAAGACTGTTGTGTTTGATCTTCATTAGTGTTTCATGTCCTTTTCACTTTCAGCAAGTAGTGTTGTGTTACCTGCAAGTCACAGGTTGTTAATGGGTTTTCTTTGAATCCTAATGGACTATCTTTCATGTAGTTCAGATTCTTTTCTCAGCATATAGATTGAATAAATATGGTGAAGGGATACAGGCCTGATGCACACCTTTCCTCTTATTAAACGAAATCCTCTTATTTCTAGTCCAACAACTGCCTCTTGGTCTATATACAGGTTCAACATGAGCTCAAGTAAGTGTTTTGTAATTCCCATCTTTCATAATGCCTTTGCACAGGCAATAAAACAGAAGTAAATATCTTTCTGGTATTCTATACTTTCAGCTAAGATCCATCTGACATCAATAGTGCTGTCCCTTGTTCTACGTCCTCTTGTATTTCTAGAAGTTCCCTGTCAATGTACTTCTGCAAATGTTTTTAAAATTATCTTCAGCAAAATTTTACTTGCATGTGTTTTTAGTGATATAAAAATGCGAACTCATAGTGACTGTATAGGGTTTCTAATGCGATAAATCTTTATAGGAGCAGAAAGTCTCATCTTTCTTCTGCAGTTTCAGGTGGGTTTGAACTGCTGACCTTGAAGCTAGCAGTCCAGTGCTTAACCCTACAGTACCACCAAGGCTTCCACATTCTGTTGGATCACTCTTCTTTGGAATGGACATAAATATAGATCTCTTCTCTACTCAGTTGAGAAGAAAGCCAGGTTGCTGTCTTCCAGCTTTTTTAGTGTAGATGAGTGAGTACCTCCAGTTGGGCATCCATTTGGTGAAGCAGCTCAGCTTGTACTCTGTCAATTCCTGGAGGCTTGTTTTTCTCACTAGTGCCTTCAGTACAGCTTGGACTTCTTTAATATAATCAAAAATATCCCGTTTTTGATTATATGCTATCTCCTGAAATGGTTGATCAGTCAATTCTTTTTAGTACAATGATGGTATATTCCTTCCATCTTCCCTTGATTCTTCCTACATACATCATTTAATATTTTGTCCATTGTTGTTAAGTGCCATTGAGTCGATTTTAACTCATAGCTACCCTGTACAGGGTTTCTAAGAAACAGCTTGTGGGTTTGAACTGCTGACCTCACGGTTCACATTTCAGTGCTTATCTTACAGTGCCACACAAGGAGTCCTTAGATTCCGTCAATATTGTAACTTAAGGCTTATTTTTTAACCCCCGTTCCTTCAGCTTGAGAAATACTTAGTATTTGTAAATTTCACTATAATACTTTTGTCTTCTTGAACCACTCTTTGAACTCTTTTCAGCTCTACTTCATTTCTTATGTTCACTTTTACTCCTCTACATTCTAGAGCAAGTTTCAGAGTCGCTTCTCTTTTTTTTTTTTTTTTTCCTCTTTTTATTGATGTCTTATTTTCTTCATGTTTATGATGTCCTTGATATCATCTTACAACTTGTCTGGTGTTTGGTCATTACTGTTCAACATGTCAAATCACTTGAGATTGTCTCCAAGTTCAGAGATGAGACACTCTATGTCCATAGTAGTTTTATATCGTTCTAGGGCCACCACTAAGCCCCCTTATTATGCTCCGGTGCTAGCAGAGTTGAAGGGTTGACTTCAGCTGCTTTTCAAGCATTCTGAGATGGTGAGAACACTGAGCCTACTGCCATGGTTCTTCAATTCTAAGACTTGTCAGCTCTTCCTCCTCTCTCCCTCCCATTATATAATACCTGCAATAACGGCTTGTGGTAGAAATGATGTTATTTTAGATTAAAACAAATATGAACCAGATTGATCTAAACAATTCAGAAGGAGCAAGTATGTCAAATGTATTTTTTGTGAGGAGTCTTTTTTCCTCTGATCACTAGTGGGAACAGGGCTATGTAAGCTGCTAATGCTCTCCTTTCAGAGAAGCTGATGATGGACAAAGATGAACTTGTGGAGCCTGAGCTAGTTGTTCAACCTGTGTCAGAAGTTGTTCATCCTGTGTCAGAGTTTCCCACAGGAGACAGCTCACCTAAGTTAAGCACTTTTTTGTACAATTTAAGAAAACATATTTGAGTTTTTGTAAAGAATGCTACGCTATATGACTTAATGTTGTAGCATTTTAAAGTGTATGCTGTTTTGGATATTTCATATCCAGTATCAATTTAAAATTGTAGGTTCAACACTCCTTCTAGAAAAAATAACTTTTATTAACAAAATGGCCTCACAGTATAAAATACAGTGGGGGTTTCAGTTTCATAACTTTTTGGATTCTTTCTTTAGGAGCATCACTGTAGCTACGTAAATACAACAAAAACTAGTTCCCCAGCTGAGGCAGGAGAAAACTACGCAAAGCACCCTTCTGTTATTAGACACTCTTGCTTGGAAAGCTGCATCTGTCTCATACTACTACGCCTCAGCTTGATGCCTGACCACCCTGGCTGCTCCAGAGACCCAGAAATAGGAAGGAATGAGTCTATAGTTAGGGGGAAAGTTCTTGCCTCAAACACTGCTAGGAATCCAGGCCAGGTGATGATGGTTATAACTCCAATTACTTCACTCAAGAGCCATTTCTTCATTACTTAAGCAGATAGACACATCCCAACAACATCCAGTAGCTTTTGGTCTCTTTCCTCAGTTGATTTGCTGTAGGATTTCAGGGAAGTGGAAATGGTTCAGATGCTCCATTTAGAACTTCTGTAAGAATTTGAGGACGAGGTCCCGCAGCCGCACTCTGAGCATTTCATCATTGTCACAAATGATATGAGTTGAATCTTCTTCAATCTGGATCAGCGTCTCTGCTTCTTGAAGCAGGACAATGTGGCCCTTGGCTGTGTCTTCCACTTTAATATCACTGAAGCCATGCTGCTCAGAAAGAAAAGAAAAAGGGAGACTGGTGAGTATTCTGAAAAGCAAAGAGCTGACTGAGAAGGCAGGATAACAGTGTAGCAACTGAGGACTCTGAAAATATAAGTCTGATTATCAGACTTGACTGAAGTGAACAATCTAGGAACTGGCATTTTTGATACTTCTTACTACAATGTTAAAGATGAGTAATAGAGTATTACTACAACTAGAAGTCAACCAGTTTCTTATGCTAGATGCCCCCAAACAAGCAAAAGCTCATGAAAACACATTAATTTCTACAACTTGCTTAAGCATTTATAATCACACCCAAGCACCTGTGTTCTAGGCTGTTCCTCTCATCAGCCTCAGTACCATTCCCACGTTCCCTGGAAACAAAGTGCCATCTTAAGTCTCAACTGTTCTTCTGAGCTCCCCGGAAAATGCCAATCCTAAAAGCAAAGCATCATTGATCATGGGATTTGGACAATCCCTCTCTCAAGGGGGAAAGATATAAGAATAGCTATATCAAATGCTAAAAGGAGCTCTGGTAGCGTAGTGGTTACAAATCGGGCTGTGAACCTTAAGGTCAGCGGTTCGAAACTACCAGCTGCTCCGCAGGAGAAAGATGAGGCTTT